ATTAGACCAGCAACTTTCAGCCTTTTTTTAACTCATAGCACATAAAATTCTGTGGTACACCAAAAAATATATTTTTTACTGATCTGACAAAAAAATAGGTATAATTTTTATCCATTCACACTGAATGGCTATTGTGTTAGCTGTTGTCATCTTTTTTTTACTAGTAATTTGACAATCTAAGGGAAAAGAGGTCAGTGTCCCTGACTAAATGTTCAGGTGTTGCATGTTTTAGATTCTATAGTTTTTCTGGCAGAAATTATGTTTCTATAATTCTTATGGCACACCAGTTCGAAAATTGCTGCATTAGACCATTAAAAGGAGAAGGACTGAGAATCCACGGCTGGGCTCAGGGAACAAGTTGCTGTGACCAATTAGTGATGTTTGCCATGGACATGAAAGTGAGGAGCTGGTACCATGTGTTTCCATCCCCGATCTAATAACTGTTGGAGTAGAGAAGCCATAAGATACCATACACGTGTAAGAGTCTATGATGAAAAGAAAACCGTTCTGTTACTTACAGTTATACAACCTTGGACAAGTTACTTAACTTAGTGTAACCTCAGTTTCTAAAACTGTACAATAGGGATGTGAATAACTATATCATAGATGTTGTGAGAATTAAATGAAAATATATGTGCATCTGCCTTACAAAATTTATACTCAGTAAGTGGAAATAGTATTAACTCCATTTGGCTGAAGTAGCAGACAACTTCAAATAATAATGGCTTAATATTTATTTGTTTCTCATGTAAATAAAAGCTGGAGGCCAGTAGTCCGGGACTGGTATAGTAACACCACAAAGCCATCGGAGACCCAGGTTCCCAGGTTGCATTATGGCCCAACATGGCTGCTTGAGCTCCAGGCATCATGACCCCAGTCTAGCCAGCATAACTTAGAGAGCAGAAGAAAGGCATGCTTCTCCCCTTTAAGGACATTTGTTTGTACGCACAATTTCTGATCACAGCTTTGTCATAGGTCAACACTTAGCTGAAAGGCAGGTTGGAAGCTGTAGTCTTTATCTCAGGGGGTGTCTGTAAGAATCCGGGTTTCTATTACTAATGAGGACAGATAGACAGATGTTCGTGTAACAACACTGCTCAGTCTGTCCCTGTGGCTCCCAGGTGCACGCCTTTCTTCCCACACACACAATCATGTTCATCCCCTCCCAAAGGGAGTCTATACTCAAGTCTCATCCACTTGCATCCAGCTCCAAAGTCTGAGGTTTCTGGATTCAGGTCCTATCTACTTGGTTTGACTATGGTTCCTTGAGGTCTGATGACTAAAAGATGTTATGTGTCCCTGCGCACCAAACTCTATGTGGGGAAGAGAAAAGGTTAACCACTTGGCAAAGGTGGAAGAGGGGAGGCCGGCAACATTTTCAGTAGCTCCCTGCAAAATAACTCTCAGTGTCTCCACAGCCTCAGCCCTTTCGTGTTCTTGACTGAGAGGGAGGGTCCCAGGTGATGTAAAACCAGCTCTTAGTATTTCCTTTGTCAGTTCTGCATGTTGTCTGGTACCTCATTGTCCTTGTGTTTTTTGTTTGTTTCAATTCAAACATTTCTATTCCGCTGCATCCAGGTAGAGACAGCAAGTTATGAAAGATCAGAGTATCTCATGGGAAGAATCACATTTAATTATGTAAATTAGGAGAAGTGGGGACTTTGGGAAAGATTGCTAGAGCTTCCTGTGGCTTAGCAAAAAGCTAGCTTCCCAGCAGTTGGTTTGCAAAGCTCTGGGGAGGGGTGATGTCTCGATCTGAGTTCAGGGCCACTTGGAAGGAAAACACAAAGAAAATACACTCTGGGGCCAGTTACCTGGATTCAGCCCTGGTATAGTCTTGGTATCTCTGTGCCTCAGTTTTCTTATCTCTACTATAAATAAGGATGCTACTTCATCCAGGTGTGACAGCCAATGAATTAATTCATGTGAAACTGTAGAGGAGGATGGTATTTTATAGGGGTGGCCTCAGGGTTAAGCAATTAGTTCATATAAAGTGCCCAGGAGAGCACCTACTTGGAAAGGGCTCTCCATGTGTTAGCACTGCTATTCTCCTTAAGAATCAAAGCTAGGGATGCCTCATGGAGCAGATAATAATATCCTTAAAATAAAGGTACCCGAGGGGGACTGATAGTCTGGCCCTCGATGTGAGCTGGCAACGAAGAGAGCAAGAGGTGATTGAGTCCATTCACATTTTGTGGCCTTTCACTCTCTATGCCCAGCACTGGACCTGCCTAGGAAATACTTAGCACTTGTCCAGTGTTAGAGAATAACCTCTGTTCTGTTCTCTGTAATCTGGACTCCTCCTCAAACATCACTCAGGTTCTGCTGACCCTCTCTGAGTGGGCTTCTTTGTTCTTACCCTCAGCCAGTCCACGCCAGGCCATGGTTTCTGGTGTTCTTATATCTATTTGCAGAAGGCTCTTGTTCTCTGATTCTGTGTTGCACAGATATCCCGCTGTGCACCAGACCTTTGTCACTGATACCCCTGTGGGAGGCGTGTTCCTCAGTTTTCACTGTGGCACGCAGGCATGCCACAAATGGCTGCTCAAGGCCACAGCTCTGCTCTGTGGCCTGGCCCCTCTCTTTCCCATGATCAGATTTCTTTCTGCTTGTGTCCTCTACGTTCTTATCCTGGTCCCAGTACCATGATGACTCTGAGTCGGTGAGAGGGACCATACTCAACCCCTCTTCCCAATTAGGCTGAAAAGAGTTGTTCCCTGCCCCGGTGAGCTAACAAGTGAGCTAGCACTCCTGTAAAATGTGATCTCACAGCAAGTGTCAAGATTTCCCTGTTCCTACATTTCTCAGCCACAAGCTGCCTTTCTTCTCCTCTGCTGTAGTATCTGTGAAACAACAGAAAAGTCAGTAAGGGCTCGTCTTCCTGAGAGAGAGGTGCCCTTTTTCATCCTTGTCTAAAATCACTAAGCTCCCAGAGAGAAACCATGACATAGGTTAGCATTTATCCAGTTATCTGTGGTGAAGGACCAGGCTTCATAATTTTCCAATTTTTAAAAATATATTTTTATTGATTTCAGAGCAGAAGGGAGAGGGAGAGAGTGATAGAAAGATCAACGATGAGAGAGAATCATTGATCGGCTGCCTCCTATACACCCCACACTGGGGATCGAGCCTGCAACCTGGGCATGTGCCCTGATTGGGAATCGAACCATGACCTCCTGGTTCATAGATTGATGCTCAACCACTGAGCCATGCCAACCGGGCAATTAATTTCCAATTTTTCACAGATTAATATTTTCGTAAAATCTGAATGACTAGAAAAATGAAATTCAAACAAAAAATACAAGGCCACTGATCATGTGCTTGAGTGCCATAGCACTACCAACTGGCTATAGAAGTTTCTAAAGGCTCACTCCCAAGTTCTGTGCCTCTCTTGTCCGGGGTCAGGACAAACCGTTCACAGGCCAGCACTTACCTGTGGACCCCAGTGTGAGGAGCATTGGCCTGATGCTCAAAAAGGACCTCTGGTTTCATTCCCTCACCTGTGTTTTCTGGACATTTGTAGATTGTTTCCACCTTGAGGTGCAAAACAAGAAAAGAGAACGAGAAGCAAGCGGAGGAGAAGGGAAAAGCCAAGCAGACGAGCTCTGCAGGGAGCCTCGCCCCGTGGTTTCTCCCCCAAAGCTGCTCTCTCCCCTCTTCGCCCCTTCATCTCAGCTCCCACAAGACCCACAAAGCTGGACGCTCCTCCAGCGTCCCCTGCAGCACCCCCCTGGACCCCAGAGGGCTCTCCCGGCAGGCGAGGCGCTCCGTGGACCTGGAGCTGGAGAGGTGCCGGCAGCAAGCAGGCTTCTTGGTGATCAAGGAGAAGGAGGAGCCCTGGGTCTTCAACCCAGAAGCTGACTCTGCAGCTGGGGAGCTGCTGGAGCCCACTCAGGAGGAGTGGAGGCAGGTGGGTGTGGCCCGGAGCTGCTCCCTAGGATTTGGCTGCCACCAGGAGGGACCAAGGATTTAAAGAAACATCAAATCTCATCTTTCCATGTAAATTCAGGGTATTTTTTTTTTGCCCGCCTTTCTCTATCCCTGGTGTTAGAACATCCCAGGAAGAGATTAGTATTTGCCTAATGACTCATATTTTAGAGTTTTGTGAAGGATGGGAAGATGTAGGCTCCATTGCCTGAGTAAACTTGGTTTAGTGACCTAACATCGCTGGGGTGAAAGGTAAGCCACGATTTCTTGGATGCTATTGTTTTATTTTTTGTTTGTTTTAATGTGTCAGAAAGATGGCTGCTGTAGCTCAAAGCCAAAGGGCTGTCAGTAGCTTCTGTCCTCCTCTGTTATCAGGCAACCAAAGGCTTTTCCAAAGTCTCTGGAACTGTGTCACATGGCTACCCCTAGCTGCAAGGGTGGCTGAGAAAGCAAATATTTAGCTTGGCACATTGCCACCCCAAACGCCCAATCAGGGTTTTGTTAGCAAGGAAGAAGAATGGATATTAAGGATGTATTCATAGTGCTTGCCAAAATAGAGGCATACCTCGTTTTAGTGCACCTCACTTTGTTGTGCCCTACAGATGTTGCATTTTTTTTCCCAATTGAAAGCAAAACCTTCCATCAGCAAAAAGATTACAACTCGCTTCATTGCTGTTCCTTCTGCTCTTCTTCCTCCTCTTCTTCTTCCTCTATTCATAGAAATGACTCTGAATGAGGGTCTGTCTAGTTTTTAGGGAAGACACCACCTCTGTTCTCTCCAGGTTGTAGATATTCTGTGGAGTGATCCCATGGCTCAGGAGGGCTGCAAGGCCAACACTGTTCGAGGAGGAGGCTGCTATTTCGGGCCGAATGTGACAAAACAGCTGCTACAGAAATACAACCTGCAGTTCCTGATCCGCTCACACGAGTGCAAACCCGAAGGCTATGAATTCTGCCACAGCCGCAAGGTGGGTGGGCCCTCGGCAGTAGCACAGGAGCGGTCCCTATTGCTCCTCCCAGGTCTGGATTAGCGAAGACTTCTCACAACCAACTGTGCCTTGTATTTTTTACTCACTTGCAAACCATAACTGGGTCCTTCGCAGTAATTTATCCTTGGCTTTTAGAGCCTCTTTAAAATTCAGTTTTGTTTGAGGCCACCACTCACCAATACCCTGAGAGGAGAGTAAGGGGAAGTTTGCTTCCATCTCATGGATGCAAATATGGTCTGGGGTTTTCCCCACCACATCTCTGTTCTTTCAGTCACATTGCTCGCTGTCACGTGTCTCAAACAGCAGCACAGAGTAACAGGACTTCTCACTGTGCCCCAGGCAGGGATTCTGGATTGTTTGCTCCTGCCTAACCTTTGGGCATCTCTAAATCCTGCAGTGTTTGCCTAGGGGCTAATACCATTCGGGTGAGAGTATTCCCAGGAATACTAATTCTACAGGAGAATAACAGTTTTCCATGCAGAAAAAATAAGAGATCAAGTAATATGAGAAATGTTTAGTTAAATACTTATATAAGTTTCTTTATTGCAGGACTTCTCAGGACTTTTAATTTCCTATATTCATTGTAAATCTCCAAAAAGAGATGCAGTGTTTAGCATTTTCCAATATATTGACAATGGAAACTTTTTTCACAGAGCATCTTGGGGGCTCCGCACTGTGGGAAACTGCTTTGAGGCCTCCCACCAGCTAGTTAGCAACTTATTTGCGTGCTGGTTATAATGGCCGCCTCAGCTCATTGGGCCCAGCTGGCCTCTCAGTGGAATCAATGAAGTTTTTCCTCTGACTCCTCCTAGTTTTACTTGGGACAAAAATGTGAAGAAAGTATGTTGTGGATGTTCTATCAGAATTCAAGTTTTTATTACTTGGGTCACAGCTCCTGCCCTACTAGCATTAATGACTTTAAATAAATCCATAGGTGAGGTCAAGGAGAAATAGCAGCCCCTGAAATTGGGTTGGACCCTCTAGGATGGAGGGCAAAGAGTTCTCCAGTGAACCTGAGTGGCTGTCTCTCTTCTCTTGATTTAGGTGTTAACCATCTTTTCTGCTTCCAACTACTATGCAGTTGGCAGTAACAGAGGGGCCTATGTCAAGTTGGGGCCAGCCCTGACCCCACACATCGTGCAGTATCAAGCTAACAAGGCGACCCACATGCTGACCATGAGGCAAAGGCAAGACTTTCCCATGAGTGATTTCAGAAAAGCAGAATTATAGTGTTTATGGAACCTTTGAAGTGTCAAATGTGACTACATTTATCTAAATTCTAAGTGAGAATTCAGAATTTGGCTCTTTCAGAAGTAAGGCGGATCTATCATAGACATTATAGGCGGGGGCCTCTTCCTTCTCCACACACCCCATAATCTCTACCTCCTCATCATTAATGGAAGGAACAAGTTTGTTTCCTGCAAATTTGCTTTTATTGAAGTTTTTCTCAGTGGGTGCATCGTGGGTAAAATTCATGGACCAGCCACCAAGTCTTCCCAGGATCACTCTTCTGTTCTCTCTCATCCTTAAAGAATTTGTGCTGTCCTAGCAACCCCAGCCAAAGGTCCTTGTACTCTCTGGGGATTTGGCAGATGGATTTCAGTGTACACAACCTGTTAACAATGGCCCTTTCCTCCTGGGAAGGAAATATATAACAGTACTTAAATGGCTTTTGTTGGGATGATTCTGAGTTGTAATCTTAGTTAGAACATACCACACATTAAGTGTTATTATAAACCATATATGTCCCACAATGAACTTATGAAATACATCATGTAATAATTTCTACTTTTAGATATGAAATTATTAAGGAACAGAGGTTAAATCAGCTGGCCCATGGTCACACAGCTAATAAGCAGTGAAAGTTAGCCTTGACCCAGGTAGTCTTATTTAAGAACTCATACACTTATTATGCAATACTGCCTCCCACCAAAAAGTGGGCTCCAGAATATAAAGCTACTAACAGATACAGTTTTAGTGATACTAAACCAGCTTTTAAAATTATCAGATGAACTAAATTCTAAATCAAAACAAAGTTAGTATAAATCCATTGAAAAGAACACATTAATATTTAGCATCTGCCTTGTGGAGTGCTATAAAAATACATTATTTTAAATCATTCTTGAGTCCAAAACACTCAGAGTTATTAAACAGTCAATTTAATTTAGAAAATTAAGGCCAGCATTACTTTAAAAAGAAATAGTATATGAAAATTTAAACTCACCAAACAATAGTAGTTAAACCTACTGTGCAGCAGAATCATCTGTGGAGCTTTATAAAAAAAAAATCAGTCATCTGAACCTGCAGCAGAATCATCTGTGGAGCTTTATAAAAAAAAAAAAAAATCAGTCATCTGAACGTCATCCCAGTTCCACCAGATTAGAGTATCCAAGGGTGGGCCCCAGGCACCCAAAATGCCATGATTTCATATGATTTCAGTGTTGTCACTACAAGAGGAGTCACTGTAGGGAATCCTATAAATAATATGTTTAATAACATAGTGAAAGATCACTCAGCTCTTTGAAATATTCATTGATTGCATCAAAGCAAGTACAACAGCACCCAGAAGTCACTTGTCCAACGACTTCAACTATTTGGACCACAATGGAGAACTTAGAGGGAAGGGGGAAGTGCTTCTGACCAGCCATAATTGATGTCTTGTTGTACAAGAACTCAGGATCATGTGTTTTACTTAGAGAAATCCTCACTCAGAATTCACTTACTTTTGGTGTAAACCCACATCTCACAGTAATAGGTTAGCCAGCCTGGCGTCCACCTGTCAAGATTGATTCCTAGCTCCACCCCTTATTAGCTATGTGACCTTAGGCTTGTTACTCACTCTGTAATGGGCATAATAGTCTTACCCACCTCAGTGGGTATTGTAACTATGAGAAAAGGAAATAAGTGTTATTTTGTTAGTCATAAATCTTGCCTTGTGACTGTTTAATGTAATAATAAATTACAAGGAAAGCATGATTTTGAAAACATATCATTTATTGAGTGCTTTTTAAGTGCCAGGCTTTCTTCTAAGTGCAGTACATGAATTTACTCTTTTACTCTTCACAATAATCTTGTGAGGTAGGTAACATTTTTATCCCTATGTTGCAGGCGGGCAAACTGAGGTACAGTGAAGTTACATAACTTTACCATAGTATTCTATACTGGGCAGGACAGCAGCATCCCACAGAATACTTCACATTTATCCTATTTGTGCACAGCAGGGAAAAGTGGGGCAGCAGGGGGCCGGGGGCAGAAGTAAGAGGTGGAGCTCTTCCCTCAAACACTGAGCCCTTGGGAAGCTGGGATATTAAGGACGAGAGAGGCAAAATATAGTAGAAACCCATGACTATTTCTTCTTTAGTAAAATGTTCCTTTTTTTCTTCTGTGCCAGGATTAGCAGAGTAGAGGAGTCAGCTCTAAGAGCTCTGCGGGGAAAGTTATTTGCTCATTCCTCAGATCTTCTTGAGGAATTTAAGAAGCATGATAATGGTAAAACAGGTAAGTTAATCAAGTAAGATATTCATAAGAGAAGGAAGCTGGTAAAAACAAACAAAAACTTGTTTCGCAGTAGTTAGCAAATAAATATTTGCTGAATGAACAGATGGCCAAAAGACTTCTTTGATTACTTCCTCCATTTAATTCAAGTTAATGTCCCAGTTATCTTTTCTAAATATTAAAATTCCATGCTCTTAACAATATGAACTTGGCTAAATATAGATGGAGATGGTGAAAAGAAATGAAGTCAAGGGAAGGGTGACAAGGCCAGAACTAAGCAAAAAACAACAGGTGGGGCAAGTTACAGAAGTTTGCCCAAGATTAGCAAATTTTAATGATTTGACTTCTTGTTGTTCTCATGTGTATTTATCTGTTCTTCATTCTATTATAAAAACTGGCAATTTTGTCTTTTGGAATGTGTAATGGACATTAACTACATGTACTCATATTAAAAAACAGCAGTAACTGTCATACAGTCATAACAATATTTTTTTCCTATACAAGTAAACAACCAGTGCTGTATTTGTATAATGGTTTTTCCTGTTATTTGTCTGAGTTTTGTGTGATTTCCAGTAGCATTGCCAAATATGGCAAATAAAAACAGAATGCCAAATTAAATTTGAATTATGGACAGATGATAAAAATCTTTAAATATAAGTATGTCCCATGCAATATTTGGGATATACTTATACCTCGTGGTCTGTCTGAAATTTAAATCTAACTGAATAGCCTGTATTTTATCTGGCAACTCTACTTTCATGACCATGACCAACAAAAATAGTGACAGTGCCTAATGTTTTTATGACCTACGGATAGTAAGAAGGATGTCAGCTTAAAATGGTACCCACTGTTGGGCAGGAGACTGGGCTTATAGGTGACAAGACAACAAGTTAGCCCTTTTCCTGTAGGTTTAATCACCCTGAGTGACTGGGCAGCCGCTGTGGAGTCTGTGTTGCATCTAGGACTGCCATGGCGGATGCTGAGGCCACAGCTGGTGAACAGCTCAACAGATAACATGCTGGAGTACAAGTCCTGGCTGGAGGACTTGGCCAAAGAACAACTGAGTCACGAGGTAATGATGAGAAAATGGTGGATGAGGGCATATTGTGGACCATGAAGCCCCTTATGGAGAACTTTGTGTTTTTTTGTATTTTTAAAAAAATTTTTTTTATTGATTAAGTTATTACATATGTGTCCTTATCCCCACG